TAAATTATAAACAGACAGAAAACCATAGAATCAAATGAAAAGAATTCAAACTCAGTAAATATTGTATGATTATGTCAGCTACATATCAATAATTGTACATGCATTGTCAGGTGTGGTTCATAATCATTCACCAGTTTCTCCTCACTAAGTGCCTAATAGGGTTGGCATGGAAAAATAAGGCCTCAGTCCTTGTCTAGATCCCATTTTTGAGCATTTTTGTCTTATCTTTAGTTCTCATGCACATATAAAAGAATCCTTTTATTTTTGGTTATTGGCTCTCCAAGGAATAGGACCTTGAATGCAGTAATGCCATAATAAACTGTGTTGAGTACATGCTGAATGAATAGGTCTTAGATCTGAAGCAGAACATTAAAACACTCTTAAGTTATAGGAAGACATACTAAAATTTCTACTTATATTTGTCATAACTCATTCTTTATTTACTTTAGTATTTTATAATGTAGATAACATGTTCTTATATATAACATATATATACCTTCTTCTCTTCTATTGTTTTTTACATGTATACATCTTCTAAATAAGGAACTAAAGTAATTGCTACTATTTGCTGGCAAAGTAATCTCTCATGTCACATGTCATTCTGGTCTGGTCATTCTGGCTCCAACGGCCATTCTAATCATCTGCTACATGCTGATCAAGAAGTTCAGTGCTATAGCCAGTACTGGAATCACACTGGTCACTCTCTTTCCAGCCTGTCTTTCACCAGTTCTTACTCTTCTTTGCTGTAGTATGTGGCTCTCTAAATTGGTAAAGTTATCTTAATGGAAAATGTTTATTTATTGTACTCCTATTTTGATTAGAAAGGGATAGTTTTCATGTAGCATACTTACATATCTAAGAATTATTTTCCTGAAGATTACAAAAAAATCTTTATCTATAATGTTTTCCTGTTTTTTTTTTTTCCAATTTTTATTTTTGAGAGAGAGAGAAAGAGAGAGACAGAGGTGGGGGGGAGAGCAGAGAGAAAGGGAGACACAGAATCTGAAACAGGCTCCAGGCTCTGAGCTGTCAGCAGAGAGCCTGATGGAGGGCTCAAACTCATAAACTGTGAGATTATGACCTGAGCTGAAGTGGCACACCTAACTGACTGAACCACCCAGGCACCCCAATGTCTTCCTGTTTTTAAAACCCTTCACAAGCCTTTCTGTCCTAACACTTCGGATTACAAAAACATTTATAAATAATAAGGAAGTAACAGTTATAGTTAAACATAAGATAAAAAATAAAAATTATTTAAGGTAAAAGATATATTCTATGCAAGTTATATATAGGCAACACTTAAAAAAATAAAATCATACTTTAAAAAATGTATCAAGGGAGCATGCTCTTTACAGTTATTTTCATGTAAATGTTTTTATAAAACAAAGAATAATTTCATATAAACAGCCATCCTTCTCCTGTATTTTGTTACACAGAATTTGCTTGAATTGAGGTATACCTTCAGTAGGCAGTAAAGTTTTCTAAGAATCTCATTTTTTTGAATAGGAAATAAAGAATTTGGGGAGTAAATAATTTATATAAAGTCCTAAAAATTTTACATTTAATTGTAACAGAATGCCAGTGGTCAATCTTGCATTATCCTGACGACTTTGAAATAGAGTGCCTGTGACCCTTTGCTATAATTTTACTTTGTAATTTAATGCCATTAACTATTCCATCTCTAAAAGAGATTCTCTGTCTTGATTAATGGCATCTCCATTCAACTAGTTGTTCAATTTGGAAATATTGGTGTCATTTTTGAATCCTTCTTCCTTCTTCTAATTCGTATCTAATTAGTTACTGAGTCTTGTAAATTATATAATCATTATAATAATTTTCAGTCCTCTACCTTACTCTTTATTCCAATTGCTACTACCCTAACTGAAGCCATATGGTCTTTCTGGTCTATAGTAATAATGCCTTAATTCATTTCCTGTAACCAGTCCTCCTGTCCTTCAATCCTTCCCTCCTTTACACTGTTGTCAATAATACCTTCTAAGACATACATGCATTTTGTTATTCCCCTATTTAAATAAATCAATGTCTGTCTCTTAATTGTTATAGAAAATCTTCAAATTTTTGAAGTGCCACACACTTACCTTCACAATTATTGCCCACTGCTCCTCTCCTCCATACTAAACAGTTCACATTTTCATCAACACATCCATTCACTTCCCCACATTTCCATATTTTTTTCCTCTTTTTGTTTCCTCTATCTCAAGTCCCCATCAATCTGCCTAATAATTTTTTTAAATGTTTGGTTCAAATTTTAGCTTTTTGTAAAGTCTTCTCCAGAATTCTGCTTTTTGGTACTTCCATATTTCTTTTTCAGACTTGTATGTCAGTAATTAATGCTCTGAATGGCAAGAAAGCATGAGTCTACCCTATAAAAGGGTAAACTCTTTGAATGTAAGAATGTTGGTATTTTAGTATAAAATGGTTATATTCATTATAAAGTCAAGCAATCAGTAAGATATTTTGTACCCAAGGAGCCTTTGAACAGTTAGGTATTCCTGAGATTTAAAAAGAAGTCCTTAATTTCAGTCTCTTCAATAATGATGTTGGAAAATCTGAATAGCTATGTACAAAAGAGTGAAACTGGACCAGTTTCTTATACCATGCACAAAATAAACTCAAAATTGGCTTAAAGATTTAAATGTGGGATCTGAAACCATAAAAATACTAGAAGAGAGCACAGATATATTCTTTGGCATTGGCCATAGAAGCCGTTTTTCTGGATGTGTCTCCCAAGGCAAGAGAAACAAAAGCAAAATTAAACTATTGGGACTATATCAAAATAAAAAGCTACTGTACAGTAAAGGAAATAATCAACAAAACAAAAAGACAACCTACTTAGTGGGAGAAGATATTTTCAAATGATATATTTGATAAGGAGTTAATTTCCAAAATATATAAAGAACTTAAGTGACTCAAGACCAAAAAAAAAAAAAAACAACAAAACAAAACAAAACCCATAAACACCCAAATGATCCAATTAAAAATGAACAGAAAACATGAAAAGACATTTCTCCAAGGAAGATTACAGATAGCCAACAGACATGTTAAAAGATACTCAACATCACTCATTACCAGGGAAATGCAAATCAAAACCACAATAAAATCACCTCACAACTGTCATAATGGCTAAAATCAAATACACAAGAAACAACAGGTGTTGGTGAGAATGTGGAGTAAAAGGAACCCTCATGTTCTGTTGGTGGGGATGCAAGTGGTGCAGCCACTGTGGGAAAGTATAGAGGTTACTCAAAAAATTAAAAATAGAATTACCATATGATCCAGTAATTCCACTACTGGGTATTTACTCAAAGAATACAAAAACACTAACTTGAAAAGATATATGAACCCCTGTCTTCACTACAGCATTAATGGAAATAGCTAAGAAGCAACCCAAGTATCCAATGGTAGATGAATGAATAAAGAAGGTGTGGTAATTTGGCTGCAGCAACTTCTTACCCAACACGTCTCCAGAGGCAAGGGAAACAAAGGCAAAAATGAACTATTGGGACCTCCTCAAAACAAAAATCTTCTGTACAGCAAAGGAAACAATCAGCAAAACTAAAAGGCAACTGACAGAATGGGAGAAGATATTTGCAAACGACATATCAGATAAAGGGTTAGTATCCAAAATCTTAAAGAACTCATCAAACTCCACACCCAAAAAACAAATAATCCAGTGAAGAAATGGGCTAAAGACATGAAGAGACACTTCTCCAAAGAAGACATCCAGATGGCCAACAGACATATGAAATGATGCTCAATGTCACTCATCAGCATGGAAATACAAATCAAAACCACAATGAGATACTACCTCACACCCACCAGAATGACCAACATTAACAACTCAGGCAACAACAGATATTCATGAGGATGCGGAGAAAGAGGATCTCATGTGTGCTACTGGTAGGAATGCAAACTGCTGCAGCCACTCTGGAAAACAGTATGGAGTTTCCTCAAAAAATTAAAAATCGAACTACCCTATGACCCAGGAATTGCACTACTAGGTATCTATCCAAGGGATACAGGTGTGCTGTTTCAAAGGGGCACATGCATCCCAATGTTTATAGCAGCACTATCAACAATAGCCAAAGTATGGAAAGAGCCCAAATATCCATCAATGGATGAATGGATAAAGAAGATGTCATGTATATATGTGTATATATGTGTGTGTGTGTGTGTGTGTGTATAAATATATATACGTATATATGTGTATATATGTATATACACACACACACAGTGGAGTATTACTTGGCAATCAGAAAGAATGAACTCTTGCCATTTGCAACTACGTGGATGGAACTAGACTGAAATCCTTGATACAATAACTAAAACAGCTGGTGGAATGAACTGGTCTTGGGGCATTCAGAAATGCTTAAACTATTCATAAGTTAAGTTGAGAACATATAATCTACAGATGACAGTTTGATTCTAAAGTTTTAGCCTCTTATTCCTGCTCACACAATTCCCAAACATCACTCAGAAAAAATTTTAGAGTGCACTTACATATCTCCAGAGAAACCTATTTTGTTCATTTGTAAGTATGATCAGATCATTCCATAACACTCATTGTGAGGGGGAAAAAAGTAACTTTATAACCACTGGTTCTTCATTATCACTGACTTAATTGATTCACCATTGTCCTCTACAGAACTCCATTTAGGAAATAATTATTAAACATCAAAAATGCCTCAGGAAAAGGAAGATTTGTTGTAAGGTAAGTCATGACATGAACTTTAAGCCTGATATTAAAGTCCCAGTACAATGAAAGAAAGAAAACAGTCAAATATAAGAAGGTGTTTTTGTTTTTGTTTTTTATCCAGGTACTCAGATCAAGCAAGTATTTCCCAATTAAATTATGATGTTAAATTTTGAAAATGAGAAGTGCAAGCAGAAAATCAGGAAAACAAAAAAAGATTATTCTTAGAACATTAAAAACAATAAAAGTGAACAACGTGTATATTGAAAAGGACATGAAAACTTACAGTTGTTGTATAAGCAGCTTCTGGATCATCTTCCAGCACCCGGGAGAGACCAAAATCGGAAACTTTGCATACTAAGTTGCTGTTGACCAATATATTCCTAGCTGCTAGATCCCGATGAACATATCCCATATCAGAAAGATACTTCATTCCTGATGCAATGCCTCGGAGCATACCAACCAACTGGATGACTGTGAAATGGCCATCATGTTTCTGAAAGAGAATCACAGTTGTTTACATTGATTTAGTTTAATGAAGCATGTGTGCATGCATGTATGCATGTGTATGCACATGTGTGTGTAGCATTAAGTAAAACCCTTGAATTTATTTTACTGGATCCAATGACAGATGCATCAAATTTGCTGATCATGAAACATAAGAATTTGTTTGATATTTAAAAGAAAGGAAAATCTAGCTGGAAGTGATGAAGGAGAACAAAGGATAAAGAGAACCAACAAAATTAACTTCTAGAAAGAAAGATTTCAAAAACTTTAAGTAACAAGAGGGACTTAAGTCAAACTAGGTAGCAGCAATGACTCCCACAGAACAGAATTTGCTTCTCATAATTGTGAGTTCAGGTGGGCAGAAATACTGCAAAACCAACGATTGGATAAAAGCTGTGTGATAAACTCGAAATATGGCAAAAAGTGATGACTAGGAAAAAAGAAAACTTGTTTGCTTAAATAAGAAACAAGTTTAGGGAAGCTGTGGGAATGAGAGAAAAAATACAGGCAAACAGAAAATAATGAGATTTTCCAATTCTTTCATCATGCAGAACAAATAAAAAGGAAGTTGTTGGCAACTGACTGAAATCAAGACTATTTAGCTCCCAGGTGGGAAGACTAAATAAAATCACATGAATAACAAGCCAGGCACACCACTGGTATGTAGCAGACAATCCCTTGATTGCTAGTTCTTCTCATCTTGATTTAAAAATAACATATGCTTTTCTAAAAAAGGAAAAAAAATCTAATTGTCATCCATGTAAGATATGTGCACCAATAAGACTAAATACAAACAGTACTCTAGAAATTAGAGAAAAATAAAAAAAAATATTTTAAGTTTGAAAAATAATGCATATTGCTCTACAAAGTTATTGTAGAGATAGTTGTCTTAAAAGGAGTTATAAAGAAACATGAAACATGAAAGATTCCCAAGTTGGTTTTATATATGAGGTGACATTTATTTATGAATGTTATTAAAATAGATATCTAGTAAGAGACTATTGCACTGCATTACCTTATATAATGTGGTAGATGCATAAATAACAGTTATCTTAAAATTTGCAGTTATAGAAATTTTAATGGATATCTGATTTATTCTTTTTAAAAAAAATTTAAATGTTTTATTTATTTCTAAGAGAGAGAGAGAGAGACAGTGTGAGCAGAGGAGGGTCAGAGAGAGAGGGAGTTACAGAATCTGAAACAGGCTCCAAGCTCTGAGCTGTCAGCACAGAGCCCGATGTGGGGCTTGAACCCACGAACCATGAGATTGTGACCTGAGCTGAAGTCAGCCGCCGAACTGACTGAGCCACCCAGGCACCCCTATGGATATCTGATTTAGAACTATAGTGTGGGAATATCTATATAGGGATAATCTGACCACATCACAGTGACACAGTATCCTATACAATGATGATTCACTGGTCAGTTAAATGAATAAGCTTATACTACAAATTAAATAAACGTTGTCTTTCTATCAACTTATCTCCCTGATAGCTCTCTGATAATATCTCCCAACTCAAGTGCAGAGTAAGGAAAAAAACTTTCTCTTAAAAGACACCGTCTATAGCAAAAGTATCCATTTAAGCAGGCTCTTCTGTATAATTAATGTATAAAAGATAACCTAGCAACGAAAATCTTTGGTGTTATTAGCTCTTTATGTTTCCAATCCATCTTCCTAGACAGTGCACTATTAGATGAAATATGCCTCTTCTATCATGCACACTACCTACCTCTCCTCTGTTAGGACTCTCAAAGACTTTGAGTAGAATTCAAAGCATAAATTCTTTCAGCCTAGGAAAGATTACACTAAATTTTAAGAGGTGGCTCTTTTACCTATTAGAAATGAAGTTGCCTGGTATAGTTCTCATCAATGTAGAATTTCTGCATGGTAGTGAATGTGAATGGACCATCTGAAAAGGTGGATGCCTCAGTTTTCTTATCTCTACAATGAGAATGTATAATCTAACTCAGAGGTGCAGTGAGAATCACATATAAAACATATAGCACAGCCCTTGACTTATTTTAATAATAGTTCTTATTTAATAAAACCTTATTGTACTATAATTACATGTAGTTCTTATAGTTTTAATATAAGTTAATAATATTTAATGTCAGAAAATTCTCCTATCATTTTCCTGAGAAATCAATTTGCAACATAAACTCCTACATCATAAAAAGAAATCATTATTTAATACCACGTTGAAATTTAACTTCTTATCTTTTCTGAGAATGACACAAAGTACCAAGTCATTTCTTTAAAAAAAAAAAAAGACTACTTTTTTGGATCACTTTTAGGTTCACGGCAAAATTAAAAGGAATGTACAGAGATTTCCTATATGTCTTCTGTCCCTGCACATGCAGACGCATAACCTCATCCAAATCGTTCCCCACCAGAATGGTACATTTGATACAACTGATCACAGTCATCCGAAGTCCCTGGTTTACATTATGGTTCATTCTTTGTATTTTACATTCTATGGGTTTGGACAAATTTATAAAGACATAAAACCATTATAGTTTCATACAGAGTATTTTCACTGTCTGAAAAATCTGTGCTTCACCTATTCACCAACACCACCACTTCTCCCCCACTTCTCTACCCCATCTCCAAACCTTGGGTACCACTGATCTTTTACTTTCTTCATAGTTTTGCCTTTTCTAGAATGTCATATAGTGGGACCACACAGTAGGTAGTCTTTGTAGATTGGTTTCTTTCACTTCATAATATGCATTTAAGATTCCTCCATGTATTTTCATGGCTTGATGGCTCTATTCATTTTAGTGCTGAATAAAATTTCTTTGTCTAGATGCATTACTGTTTCATTTATCCATTCCCTTACCGAAGGACATCTTTGTGGCTTCCAAGTTTTGGCGATTATAAATAAAGATGCTATAAGCACCTGTGCTGAGGCTTTTTATGTGAATGTAAGTTTTAAACACCTTTGGTTAAATGCCAGGGAAGGTGACAGCTGGATCATATAATAACAATATGTTTAGTTTTGTTAAGAAACTCCCAAACTGTCTTCCAAAGTGGCTGTACCATTTTGCGTTCCTACCAGCAATGAATGTGTTGCTTCAAATCCTTACCAATATTTAGTGTCGGTGTTATCAGTTTTGGCCATTCTAATAGGTGCATAGTGGTAACTCATTATTTCAATTTGCATTTTCCTGATGATATATAGTGTGAAGCATCCTTCATATGCTTATTTACCATCTGTATATCTTTGCTGCAGTGACTGTTAAGGTCTTTGGCCCATTTTTAAAATGGTTTGTTTTCCTGTTGCTGAATTTTAAGAATTCTTTGTATATTTTAGTCCTTTATCAGATGTGTCTTTTGCAAATATTTTCTCCCCATCAGTGTCTTGTCTTCTCATTCTCTTGACATTATCTTTTGCAGAGCAGAAGTTTTAAATTTTAATAAAGTCCAGCTTATCAATTTTTTTTCTTGGATTGTGTCTTTGTAGTTGTATCTAAAAAGTGTTTGCCATATCCAACGTCATCCAGGTTTTTCTGTGTTATCTTCTGGGAATTTTATAATTTTGTGTTTTACATTTAGGTCTGTGATCCATTTTGACTTAATTTTTGTGAAGGGTGTAAGGTTCTGTTTTTAGCTTTTTTTTGTTTTCGTTATTGCTTTTGCTTTTTGTTTGTTTTTATTTTTTGCATGTGGATATCCAGTTGTTCCAGCACCATTTATTGAAAAGACAATTTTTGCTCCATGGTATTGTTTTTGCTTTTTTGTCAAAGACTAGTTGACTGTTTAGTATAGACTTTCTATTCCATTCCATTGACCTCTTCGTCTGTTCTCTCATCCATATCACAACACTGTCTTGATTATTATTAGTCTTGTACTCAGGTAGTATCCATCCTTCAAGTTCGTTCTTTTTTGATATTGTGTTATCCATTCTAGGCCTTTGACATCTACACACAAACTTCAGAATAACTTTGTTGACATCCACAAAATAACCTACTGGGATTTTGATTGGGTTGCGTTAAAATATATATATCAAGTTGGAAAGAAGTGACATTTATAATACTGAGTTTCCTTAATCATTAATACGGAATATCTCTCCATTTATTTAGTTCTTCCTTGATTTTGTTAATCAGAGTTTAGGTTTTCCTCATATAGATCTTGCACATATTTTGTTAGATTTATACCTAAGTATTTCATTTTAAGGGTGTTAATGTAATGGTATTGTGCTTTTAATTTCAAATTCCACTTGTTCATTGCTGATATGTAGGAAAGCAATTGACTTTTATATGTAGCATAATAACTTTGTATTCTGCAACCTTGCTATAATAGCTTATTGGTCTAATATTTTTCAGATTTTCTACATAGACAATATGTTATCTGTAAATAAGGACAGTTTTATTTTTTCCTTCCTGATCTGCGTATTTTCTCCACTCTTTATTGTCTTCTTACATTAGCTAGTACTTCCAATATGAGAGTCAAAAGGAGTAGTTAGAGTGACATCCTTGCCTCGTTCCTGATCCTTGTGGGATAACTTTAAATTTCTCACCATTAAGTATGATAACAATAGTTTTTTTTTTATAGACAGTCTTTATGAAGTTTAAGAACTTTCCTTATATTTCTAGTTTACTGAAAGCTTTTTTAAAGTCATAAACTGGTGTTCAATTTTATCAAGTACCTTTTTCTATTTATGTGATCATGTGATTTTTCTTTTTTAGTCATTTTGATAGATGACATTAATTGATTTTTTAAAAAAAATTAAATGTTTTTAAAATTTATTTCTGGGAGACAGATACAGCGTGATACAGGGAGAGACAAATACAGGGAGAGAAAGATACAGCGTGAGCAGGGGAGGGTCAGAGAGAGGGGGAGACACAGAATCTAAAACAGGCTCCAGGCTCTGAGCTGGCAGTCAGCACAGAGCCTGGCATAGTGCTCAAACCCATGAACCGTGAGATCATGACCAGAGCTGAAGTCAGATGCTTAACCGACTGAGCTACCCAGGCGCCCCTGACATT